GGTTTTTTAGAGGCTATAGCTTTCAAGGAAGAATGTGTCATAGTTTTGGTATGAAAGTGATACAGCTTGAAAGTGAGGAAAATTTGAAGTACTTGCTGTAGAAGATCAAACACTGCAGCCTTCAATATGGACTGCATCTCCAAGTCAAGAAACCAGAAATTCTTACCATGGAACCAATAAAAAACACTGAATGGAGAAAGCTTGAATCTTTCAATGACTTTATCATACTTGGATCTAGAAACAATACGTTTGACACCAGAGATCAGGAGACATATTGAACTGGGAATGTCTGCAGTCAGTGACCTCGCCAAATTATTGAGAAACAGTGGTATTAGTTTGAGGATTAATATGTGCCTGATTCAGGCCATGGTCTTTTCAATTACTTGCCATGCTGCTGAGAGTTTGACAGTGAATAAGGATGACAGAAGGACTTTAAACTGTGGTGTTGAAGAATAGCAGTGAATATCCCATGGACTGCCCAAAGAACAAAAAAATATGTCTTGGAGAAGGTACAACCAGAGAGAGTGCTTCTTTGAAGATGGTGAAGCATTGTCTCAATACTTTGGGCATGTTGCTAGGAGAGGCTATTCCACCAAGAAGGACTTGAGAAGGTAGAGGGATGGTGAAGGAGCAGAAGACCTTCAACCAGGTAGATTGACACAGTTAACTGCAGTGATGGGTTTGAGTGTGTCAGAGATTGTGAGGTTATTATAGGATGGGGCGGGAGTCAGAGCTGTTCTGCGTAGGGTTGCTGAGTTGTATTTGACTCAATGGCACCTAAGAACAACCTGAGTTGCCTATGTGAACTCTCACCTAAGCTCAACCTTGCAGTTCTATTCTCTAAAGAAATCATAAGAATAGTCATAACTTACCAAAGATGGAACAAATTGCAGAGTGTTCTACTGATAATTGACTATCTCTCAACATCCTTGGGAGAGCTCTGGTAGAATAGTCTGTAGGCAGTGTGCCTCTCTGGCAGTTTAAATCAATCAACAATTCTGTGGAAGAAAGACAATCGCCTCCTGTGTGATTTACAACCGTTCTAAAACCCACTGAAGGTACAGCTATGAGCCAGTTCTAACTCAAAGGCAATAGGTGAATAAGAAATTAGAAAAACTCTTAAGAATAATAACCATAATCTCAGATTGATGAAGGACACCGTTATTTCACATATTTAATCTCACTTGTCTATTGGGAAAGAATGCATGGGATATATGCTTAGACTTTTCGGCACAACAAAATATTTTCTCAGAAAAAAGAATAATATGTTAATTATAAAGTGCAATTTAGTATGTGATAAACTAATTATAGTCAGAAAGCTAGAAAAAAATACTATATAATATACTTGAATCTTGCACTTGTGTTTTTTTCTGAAATGTGTCAGAATTTAATTGTGTGGTTATATACTGTCAAGTTGGAAGTGACATTTAGCAGACCCTCCAGTGGCTTTTCAGAGGCAGTAATTCACAAGGGAGGAGATGGACCATTTTTCTTCCTTAGAGCACCTGGTGGATTTGAACCTCATACCATTATGTTGGCAGCACAATTCCTTACCACCAAACCACCGGGACAGTTTAATTAGGTTGCAGTTATTTCATGTAGTAATGAATATTATGCCATTATTTTCCAAGGAATACATGGATTCCCTCTGTCACTTAGAATATATATAAAAGAGTAGTTCACCTATTTTATACTAGTTAAAAAAACACACACACACAAACCAAAACAAGCCCAAACTGTCAATGTGAGGTGGTGTTAAAATAGGCTGGTTTAATATAGCTATATAATATATAGCTATATAATATAATAATATATAATAAGATATATAATATAGCTATATAATATATAATATATATATTAATAATAAATTTTAATGCCAAAGACTTTCTTTAATCATTAAAATCACATTTTTATATACTTCAGTAATGCTGACTCTCTGTTATACTTTGTTTTTGAATTCTTGATTCATTAAAATCGATGGCCAATATGTTAACTGTTTGATATTAACTCGCTCTGATTTTACTTGTCGATGGTTGATTCTGACTCAGGATAACTCTGTGTGCTCCACAGGTTTTCAAGGCTGTGACATTTTGGAAGCAGATTTCCTGGCTTGCCTTGCAGGGTTCTCTGGGTGAGTTTGAACTGCCAACCTTTCAGATGATAGTTAAGTGCTTACTTGTTTGTGCCATCTAGGTATTCCTCATGTAGCCCTATTAGATGCTATTGTTAAATGATTTCAAGTTGAGTATGACTCAGAGCAATCTTGTGAACAACAGACCTGAATCCTGTCTTGGTCTCTGCCATCCTCACCATCTCTGATACGCTTTAGCCCATTGCTGTGTCAATCCATCTTGATGGGTTCTTTCTCTCTTTTGCTGACCCTCCTCCACTCTTCCAAACATGATATCCTTTTCTAAGGAATAGCTTCTCCTAGAAACATTTCTAAATTATTAGAGATGAACAAATTCATTAGTAATTAATTAATGAGTAATTAACTCCTATGCTCGGAATATTTATTTCTTAGGGAGAGATAGTAAATGCTATTGATAATATAACATGACCAGAATAAATGTCTAATTTAATATGATTATTTACTCAATGCATTTTCTTACTGTTTTATTCTATCCTTATCTTTATTAATATGTAGAAAAATGTTATTATTTCTTCTTATTGTCTGGAAGCAGGAGTGACATCCATTTCCTAAATAACATACCTCTGGAAACTATGAACTTTGGTAAATGTCGATAGTTGTATAGGGGCTTCAGGCCTTTTGTTCATAGTGTTGCTGTGAGTCATACCTGACTCCAAGGCAATCAACAACAACAACAACAACAATTGTCTGTGTTAGAATAGCAATCTAGATTTTAAATGTACAGGTTTTAGATGAAGTAAAAAATGTTTCCAAATTATAACCTATGCCAGATCATGTATAGGTTTTTGGAAATTGATGCTATGTTGACATTGTGTTAATTTTTCTAAATTATCCTTTTAAAATTAGGTCATCCTTAGAAAATCATCCAGAAGGAAGATATTTTTAAAGAGAAAATTTGAAATTAGCAAAAAAAGATATTTGACTACAGATGCAGAGGATAGTATTTAAGTAAGTACTTAATCAAATACATTTGAGGAGGATATGTAGAACAAATTTGAGTCCAGAAAATAGAGTTGGATTAAAATATAGCTTTTAAAGATACTTTTCTAAATTGTGTGAAGAAATCAAAATTATAATCATTTGAAGTATGTCTATTTAGTAGGTATACTCTTAAGTAATCTTAATAGTCACCTTCTTGGAAATTTAAAGTAAGAGAATATGAGTGTGTTATATTGTTAAGTATTGTTTAGTCCATTTTGTCTTCTAGTAACCTTATGTGATAGTGTACAACTCCCCTGTAAAACTTCTTTGTGGGAGCAGAGAATCAGATCTTTCTCCAATAAATTGTTCAACTTTCAGTCATTGCTGTTGAACTGGAACAGATTCATAGCTGACCCTCCAACAGGTTTTTAGAGCCTGTAAATTGCATGAAAGGAAATTTCTCCATATTCTTCCTACAGAGCATCTGGTGGATTCAAACCACCTGCCTTTGTTTTGGTAGTGCAACTCCATACCCACTCGGCCACTGGAGCTCCACCACAATAGGCATGTATTTTGGATGGACTCCACCATAATAGGCATATATTTTGGATTTTTTATTTCAGTTTTAATGATATTGAATGACTATTTAAATATTGTAAGTCTGTTCTCAATGGTATTTGTTAGGTACTGTAGAGTCTATGACTCGTAGTTACCCTATGATCAACAGATTGGAACCTTTCCTTTCCTAGTGCCTTCATCCTGATGTCTGACTTGCCGGATACAGGCTCTGACATTTTTTCAGTCACTGTGTCAGTCCATCTTGTTCAGGGTCTTCCTCTGTTTCTCTGATTCTTTATCTTTCCAAGCATGGTGTATTTTTCCAACAAGGAGGTAAACCAAGGGTGCTATTTGGAGGCAAGGATGGAGAAATTTTACCTTACATACTTTGGGCATGTTACCAGGAGGGGCCAGACATTGAAAAACATCATGCTTTGAAAGATCGTTTTATTAGAGAAAGAATAAATAGCCATTTTTTTAAAAAACGAGAAATTGAATGGGGTTTGAGAACTTTACAGTGCTTAAAAGTAACAATTTCAAAAAAAGTAACAATTTTACATATTCTGTTGAATATAAAATTTGAAATACTTAAAAACTAGAACTGCCACCCAAGCAGATATATGCTCACCCATGTTTATTGCTGCTTTGTTCATAATAGCAAAGATTGGAAACAACCTAAGGTGCCCAACAACAAACAAGTGGATAGAGAAGCTGCGGTATATTCACACAATGAAATACTATGCTGCATTGAAAAATAAGGAACTCAGGAAATATTATACAAAATGGGTGATCCCTGAGGACATTATACTGAATGAAATATCTCAGTTACAAAAGGACAAGTACTGCATAGTGCCACTGTTTTAAAGTGGAACTGACATTGGGATTGAGAGGAAACGAAAAAAAAGAGGGGATAAATAATGTATACTGACAAATGAGGGCGAAAATTGTTTAAAAGGAATATATGACTAGGTATTATTTTCATAACTAGAGTCCAGAATAATAGCTGCATAGTAAAATGATCTTGGAAAGGGGGATACAAAAATAAATTTGAAATGCTGGTATTGCATTTCCCAGATACCTTTACTATCTTCTGCAGAAATAAAAAATTTAATTATGTTTTAGAATCTTTGTCACTGTGGGTCATCTTCCTCAAATTTTTACTAGAAATAGTAAAGTACTAGCTAAAAGAATAGAAATGGTTCTTTAACTTTTATTTTTCTTTTTTGGCAGATTTTACTTCATTCACTTAACAAATTAATTGAAGCCAAATTTTCTTGAACATTCTTTCTGTTCTAGGTATTATCTTTGGGAATAGAATATAGCAGGGAATAAAACCAAATACCCTGCTCACCTGCGATTTCTACTGAGAATGTTTTTGAGCTTCTGTATATTTAGGTTTGGATTTTCTTTTGTCATCATGTGCATTATAAACAAGTCCACAGCAGCCACTCTACCAGAACTGAGTCCTCAGAAATATTTCAATACATTGCAACCTGGAAAAGCCTCATTAGCTTATTTCTGTCTAACTGGTAAGTATTTTTTTTTTTTTGGTTCTAAAGTGATCCTTGTAATGTTTATATTGGTATTTAATCAACAGGCTCAGTGGGAACTTTCTGTTGGGATAAGTAGAATGTGCTATATACCTGCTACTACTATAATGTTCTTAAAGAGTCAGAATCCTGCCATTTGACTTGTTCTGTGATCTTGGTCAAGTACATTAATTTCTCCTTAACATTGTTGGCAAACATTACTGTCTTTATGAGGTTGTTATGAGGATTCATTGAAATTATTTGAGTAACTGGTCTTTGATAGGAATTTTCTCTAGTTATTTCTAGAATAGATATAGAAGTATACTGTCAATATTTTTAATATTTAAACACATTTTCCCAACTTTATAGTATTATTACTGTTCTAGTTTAACACTTTGTTTCAGCTTTAATATTAATTATATTGAATTAACTAATACAACTATTGAAAATAACTAATAATTTGAATGGTCCCCTTTTTTTTACATTTCCTCAGTCTTTATTCAGTATCCACCTTTTACATGTGTAAGGTATTTATATTTGCAGATTTCCTCATAGTGACATCTAGATTGGTGCTAATGTTAAGTAACTAGGAAAAATGGGCAGAAATCATGGTGATCACATAGACTTATGCTTAAATCTCTATAGGTAGACATTTTATTTTATTTTACTTATTTATAGGTAGATATTTATTGATTTTTATCATTCCTTATTTTGAGAGTATAAATATTCCAGTGTACATATTGGAGAGTGTTCTATTATTTTAATAAAATGTGACTTGAGAAATTATTTCTTCTTTGACACAAGAGTTACTTAGTATCACAAGAGTCCACAATTAAGGTTGCATAGTGGAATGTACTTGGGGCGGTCGGAGGGGTGCGGGGGGATTGTGTACCAGGGAGGGAGTGTTTCTTTTACTTTTCAGAGAGAGGAGCAAACTGGGGTGATGTGGGAGGGCTGGGCGGGGAGAGAAGTGCAGCAAAATCCAAAATCTCTGTAAATGTCCATTAAAATTACTAAAAAAAGTATTAAAATGAAAAAAAGTTACTGAGGTTATTTTTTCATTCCTATATGATGTGAAAGTGGGTTTTCTTGGTTATACTTTTCTTATTAAAGTCAGTTTTTATTTCTGTGAATAAAATAAAGAGGATTGGAATGATGTATTTTTTCTTCCTTTTGAGAACAACTTGAGACTAAGATGTTATCAATATTTATAAATATCTTGTAAGCTTTTTGAAAAGTTTATTTGTTTTGCCTGTGAGTTGTGAGCTATATTAACTATATTATAAAGTTCTCATTTTCTCCATTTGATTTTTTGAGATGTTCTCACCATACAGGTTTGAAAAATAATTATGTTTTCCCATTTGCCTTACTTATTTTAATAGATTTTACCTAATATGCTTGTTGTTGTTGTTGTTATGTGCCATTGAGTCGCTTGCAACTCATAGCGACCCTATGTACAAGAGTCCTAAATGCCATTCTATCCTGTGCCAACCTCACTGTCTCAGACACACTCATTCCCAACACTCCACTCACAGAATCACTCCATCTCATCGAGGGTCTTCCTATTCTGTGCTGTCCCTCCACTCTCCCAAACATGATGTCCCTCTCAAAGGACCAGTCCCTCCTTGCAACATGCCCAGAATATGTCAGACGAAGCTTCAGAATCCTTGACTCCAAGGAACATTCTGGCTTCACCCTCTCCAGGACAAACCTGTTTGTTCTAGCAGTCCATGGTATATTCAACACTCTTCTCCAGCACCACAGCTCAAAGGCATCAATTCTCTTTCTATCATTCCTATTCATTGTCCAACTCTCTGATGCATAGCACACAACTGCAAAGACTATAGCCTGGATGCAGCACACCTTATTCTCCAGCCTGATGTTGTTGCTCCACAGTACTTTTGAGAGGTCCCTCACAGCTGACTTTCCAAATGCAATTCGTCTCCAAGAGCGTTGACAGTGGAACTAAGTAAACTGAAACTGTTCACTATCTCAATCTCTTCACCATCTATACTGATGCTGCCAGTTGGCCCACTGGTGAGAATCTTTGTTTTCTTGATGTTGAGCTTCAATCCATATTGAAGACTGCAGTCCGTGTCCTTCTGCAGCAAGCACTTCAAGTCCTCCTCAGTTTCAGTGAGCAGGGTTGTCATCTGCATAATGCAGGTTGTTTATGATTCTTCCACTAATCTTGATGCCATATTCCTCCTCGTACAGTCCGGCCTCTCAGATGATCTGGTCTGCATATAGATTGAAAAGGTATGGAGACAAAATACATCTCTAATGGACCGCTTTCTTGATTTTGAACCATCCGTTCTGACGACTGCCTCTTGGTCCACGTTTAGGTTTTGCATTAGCACAATCAAATGTTCTGGGATTTCCATTCTTCTCAGAGTCAGCCATAGCTTGTTGTGATCCACACAGTCAAAAGCCTTTGTATAGTCAATGAAGCACAGATAAACATTCTTCTGGTATTCTCTGCTTTCTTCCAAGATTCATCTAACATTAGATATAATATCCCTAGTACCACAACCTCTTCTAAATCTCGCCTGCATATCTGGCAGGTCTCTGTTGACATATTGTTCCAAACGTTTTTTGTATAATTATCAGCAGAATCTTGCTTGCATGTGATATCAAAGATATTGTTCGATAATTTCCACATGCTGTTGGGTCACCTTTCTTTGGAATGGGAACAAATATCGATCAGTTGGCCAGCTGGCTGTCCTCCAGATTTCCTGGCACAACTTAGTGAGCACATCCAGGGCAGTGTCTGTTTGTTGAAATAAATCAATTGGTATGCAGTCAACTCCTGGAGCCTTGTTTTTTGCCAATTCCTTCATAGCAACTTGAACTTCCTCCTTCATCACCTTAGACTCTTGCGCATATGTTATTTCACGAAATTCCTCTGTGTCAGCCAATTCCTTCTGATACAGTGACTCTGTATATTCCTTCCATCTTCTTTTGATACTTTCTGGATCATTCAGCATTCTACCCAAACTATCCTTAAGTATTGTCACCCATGGCTTGAATTTGTTTTTCAGCTCCTTCAGCTTAAGAAATGCTGAGTGAGTCTGGTCCTTTTGATTTTCTGACTCCAGCTCTCTGCACATTTCATTATAGTATCTTGCTTTGTCATCCCAAGCTGCCTTTTGAAATTTTCTCTTCAACTCTTTAATTTCTTAATTTCTTCCTCTAGCTTTGGCTTCTCGGTGCTCTAATGCAATACTCAGAGTCTCATCTGACATCCGTCTTGGTTTTTTCTTCTTCTTCAGTCTTTGTAATATGTTTAAAGGATATATTTATGTAGGTCATAAATATTTTTTCTCATTGAATTTATTTAAAACACTTATTTTAATGGAAGTTTACAGAGACTTTGGGTTTCCATTCGTTCATTGTTGCACACTTTTCTCCCTGCCCATCCTTCCACATTTGCTTTTCTCTTTGAAAAATAAAAAAAAATTCTTTCACTGTTACACAACTTCCCCTCCTCCCCTCCTCCAGTCTACTCCACTATGCAGCTTTCATTCTGGACTCTTGTCATGACAATGATACCTAATTCTATATTCCTTTTAAACAGTTCTCTCCCTCATCTGTTTCAATGCAGTATACATTATTTATCCTTCTTACTTTCCCCCAACCCCTATGTCAGCCCTGCTTTACAACAGTGGCACTGTACAGTATTTGTCTTTTTGTGACTGAGGTATTTCACTCAGCATAATGTCCTCCAGGGTCACCCATTTTGTATAATATTTCCTGAGTTCCTTATTTTTCAATGCAGCATAGTATTCCATTGTGTGAATATGCCACCGCTTCTCTATCCACTTGTTTGTTGATGGATACCTGGGTTGTTTTCAACTCTTTGCTATTGTAAGCAAAGCAGCAATAAACATGGGTGAGTATATATCTGCTTGGGTGGCGGTTATGGTTTTTCTTTAGTGGATATTCTCAGTAGTGGAATTGCTGGGTCAAATGGTATTTCTATTTCTAACTTTTTAAGAAAACTCCATATTGTCTTCCATTTGCACCATTTTACACTCCCACCAACAGTGAATAAGGGTTAGAATTTTTCTGCAATCTCACCAGAATTTGTCGTTTGCACTTCCGTTAAATTTTGCTGTTCTTACTGGGGTGAGATGATATCTCATAGTTGTTTTGATTTACATCTCTCTTAGAGCTAGGGATTTTGAACATTTCTTCATGAGTTTGTTTGCAATCCGAATGCCGCGTTTGTTCGCCATCTGAATGTTTGTTCATTTCCTGTGCCCAGTTTTCAATTGGGTTGTTTACCTTTCTCTTGGTTTGGTGCTTGAGTGTTTTATAAATTCTACATATAAGTCCCTTATCAGACATTTCATTACCAAATATTTTTTCCTAGTCTGTGGCTTCCATTTTTACCCTGTTGGAGAGGTTTTGGGTGTGCGTAGGGATTTTATTCTTAGAAGGTCCCATTCATGTATTTTTATCCTCTCCTGGTTATAGGTTTTTCAGGAAGACTTCAAAGATTTGGAAGACTGTTTATATTGTGGATGAGGGATTCTAGAGTTCTTCCATGTTTTTCTCTAATGAATTTTATAGTCCTCGATTTTAGTCGTTGGTCCCTGATCTTCTTTCAGTTGTTTTTTGTTATGGAGTGAGGTGTGGATTTTGATTGAATTTTCTGCAGATAGTTTTCCAATTTTGCCAATACCATTTGTTAAAAAGGCTGTCATTTCCCCACTCAACTGATTGCATTTCCTTGTCAAAAATTAGTTCACCATAGTATAATGGGTGACTGGAATGCAAAAGTTGGGAATAGAGAAGAAGATTCAGTAGGTGGAAAACATGGACTCGGTGACAGAAATGGAGCTGAAGAGAGGATGATTGAATTTTGCACAATCAATGACTTATTCATTGCAAATACTTTTTTTTTGCAAATACTTTTTTAAGAGACATAAATGCAGGTTACATACATGGACTTCACCTGATGGTATGCATAGGAATGAGATTGATTACATCTGTGG